GTTCATGGAGAACGCGTAAAGATTGGTAATGCTTTGAAGGATCTTGTATCCACTCCATTAAAACACAAGTATAGAAATAGATTAATCTAATACGTGAGACTTCGATTAACACGAAATCTAATAACATATTACTCCCTCTGTGCATAAACATAAGAAACATGTTTCTCGTGAACAAAATAAATCATAGTCATAGTATGATAGACAAAAAAAAAAAAAGAAATGACAGCATGGGTCAAAGAGCATGAGTTGTATTCGTCCCCACGGATCAGAATTGTTGTATTACAAGGCGAAGAGCCATAAATGAGATGGAGACAATATCTTGCATGTTATGGCTACCACAAAGGATGACAGTTAGGTCGAAGAATTGTTTAGAAGAAGAAAGTAATGCAAGAATGCAATGTAATATTAATAGGGGTATTCAAATCGAATCAAAAAATTAAATCAAACCAAATCGAATTGGTTTCGAACCGATTTAATCTGAATCGGTTCATCAGTAATTTAGTTTTAAAGATTATAAATAATTTTAATTTGAAAAGATATCTTGTTTATTTGATTAATCGATTCGAATCAAGCTCAGTTAAAAAGTAATAGTTTTTTAAGTTTATAATTTTAACTTTTTAATTGTATCGTTAAAATATCTAAACATTTTTAGAAGTATGGATCAATCAAGCACAGTTAAAAAGTAATATTATTACCTTTACTCTTCTTGAGGCTTGATGATTTTGACAGTAGCTTAATCCATACGTAATCGATTACTTAGGTTCCAAATGATTTTAGTTTGAAGTACCTTCCTTTGAACCGAATCATTTTTTTTATTTGATTTAATTTGACCCTTGATGCTTCGATTTGAACGAATTTGAATACACATAAGAATTAATTTAACATGTGGTATTGTCGTATGAATTTAAAGAAGATATATCACAAATATCATATATATTATGGAAAGAGAAAACTTTTAAAATTAATCATAAAAAAATAAATTAGAAAACTGATGCAAAATATATGATTCCACAATTCTTACCTACATCCATAAATCAGATTCTTCACAGCACAAAAAAAAAATAAAAATCTCTTTTGAATTAGCACAAATCCAGATTCAAATTCCTTTCTCGATCCTTTGTGGACTCACTTGCAAAACGTTGACGAATAAATAGTATTATTTAAACATATCCAAACTCATGAAAGGGTGTTTTTCATAATTACATTTTTAACGGATCGAATAATTTCAAATCTAATTTTAGGACTCTTAAAATACTTTTCATCGAAGCATTCGAGTGCAGCGGCAGATTGAAGGCGCCCATGGGATTCCAATGGCTACGGGTCGATGCACGACGCTCGGTGGCTGCTGCATTCTCGCCTCAGGTTTACTTACCACATCACACCGATTTCATTAGTAGCGGGCGATGTGATCCAATGCTCCGCGCCACAGATTAAACTGGGAAAAGCATGGCATCGTCGTGGTCGGGAATGCCTCAACACGGTGCCGTCATGAGAGCAAGAAGAAGAAGAAGAAGCAAGCGAGGAGGAGGGAGAGTGGAAGAAAAGAAGAAGAAGAAGCAGCAAGCGAGGAGGAGGAGGGAGAGTGGAATCAAAGAAGAAGAAGAAAAGAAGAAGAAGAAGAAGAAGAAGAAGAAGAAGAAGCAGCAGCAGCAAGCGAGGAGGAGGACGGAGAGTGGAATCAAAGAAGAAGAAGAAGAAGAAGCAGCAGCAAGCGAGGAGGAGGAGGGAGAGTGGAATCAAAGAAGAAGAAGAAGAAGAAGAATAATAAGAAGAAGAAGAATAAGAAGAAGAAGAAGAAGAAGAAGAAGAAGAAGAAGAAAAAGAAGATGAAGCAAGCGAGGAGGAGGGAGAGTGGAATCAAAGCCATGTAATTCTTGCAGAGAGAGCAGAGTAATGAGCTGACGCCTCAACCTGCGTGATATGGAACGAGACATCACGTCCTTGACGCCCTTTCTTCCAACCCAATTTACGCTTAACGTTACCGTCACGGTCGAATCACGCTTAGTTGACCTGGGATCGGTGCCGATGGAGATGATCTGCGGAAGAGATGGTTGGTTCTCCTTCCCACCTTAAATAGTCAATTCGTTGAAAAGAAGAACAACAAATTCAGACAAAAATTCTAGATACGATCTATGTGAACAATGATCGATTAAAAAAGTTTATTCATTATCGTGACTAATCTTGGAAACCAACTCGGCGATATATATCCCTAAAATGTTCGAACTATATCCCTAAAATGTTCGAGCACGAGAACACAAAAAAAAAAGAACGAATTTTAAGAGAAATAAATGCTTAAAATAATAAGTATCTTCCTCAAATATAATAACGGATTGAAACCTTGGGATCTTAATGCATTTCTCTTGTCAACAGCATTCTGAATGAGTGGTGAAGAAGGATCGACGATTGCTATAGGTACCGACGATCGACATTCAGGCAGACATGGTCGTGTCCAAGGATGGAAATGGCACCTACACGTCCATCTTGGATGTCGTGATGTTTTTTATTGATATGTTTTTCTATTTATACTAGTTAGGATGGAGGATTTCTCCCAATAAAGCAATAATATTTTCTCATGCGGTTGGAAAAATCTTATCTGCTATCATGCACCCATAATATGGTATTCCTATTTAGGATCTCAATCTTGGACCGATACAATGAAAATAATTTATGGGTGAGAGGCTTCGTGAGTGAGTTTGCTAGTTGATCAGCCATATATATATATATGTATATGAGAAACGCGTAGTTGATGTCGAACAACTTGATCTCGCACGAAATGAAAGTCAATGATAAAATGTTTCATGTGGGAGTGGAACACTAGATTGACACATAAGTAGTTAGTTCCGACATTATCATAATATATTGCAGAAGTAAGAGTGGAGTCAATGTTGAGTTCATTGAGCAGATTTGTGACCCAATTGAGTTTTGCAACAGCGGTACCGATGACACGATATTCAACATTAGTTGTAGACCATACGATTGTTTTTTATTTTTTAGAACTCCAATTTATTAGATTAGCTCAAGGAAGACAATATACCCCCGACATGGATATTTTATCATTAAAGTTTCTTACCCAATCAATATCAGCAAAGGCATAGAGATAAAGTGGAGAGTGTTTGTAGAGAAAGTGACAATGATGGTTCCTTTAAGATATCATAGGATTCATTTGAATACAGACAAATGCATAGTAGATGGTTGCTGTATAAATTGTGATAATTTATTGACCGCAAAGGAGATGTCTAGACAGGTGAGAGCTAAGCACTATAAGGAGCCAACTACTTGTCGGTATTGAGTGTGTTCCGTAGCAGAACTTTCATCACATAATTTGAGTGATTCACTAGTAGAAACGGGAGTTGGAACCTCTTTTGTGTCCTACATGTTTGTCTTTAATAATGAATCTTAATTTTTTTTTTTTTATGATAGGAAGAGACATGAAGATGTATATGTTGCTTCCACTCCCAAAAAGTAGCTCAAGGTTCTTAAATCTTTAAGAAAAAATCGATATGCCAATTGTTTGATGAATGCTTAGATCCTTGTAGGAGTATTGCTTGTGATAATAATGTCATCCACGTATACTAGAAGATATATTATGTCGTCATATTATTGTCATAGAAATAGTGAGGTATCAAATTTGGAGTTGATAAAGCTAATTGAAGTAAAAAAATGAGCAAAGTTTAGCTTGGAGCATGAAGAAGTCTATAAATAGCTTTTTGTAGTTTATAAACATGTATTGGATACTAAAGATGGATGAAACCAGAAGATTACTGCATAAAGACATCTTCAATTAGAGTCCTGTATAAAAATATACTGTTAACATCCAATTATCAAAATTACCAACCTCTAGTGGTAGCCAAACTCAAAATAAGTCAAATTGTTATGGATTTAACAATGAGACTGAATGTCTTAGTAAAATCAACACCAGGTTATTGATGAAACCTTTTGGTGACTAGATGTGCTTTATATCTAACAACTGATCCACCTGGGTTCTGCTTAATTCAAAAAGCGCACTTATACCCGATAATGTTTTGTGCATGATGAAAAGGTATAAGGTTTCATGTTGAGTTATGGAGAAGGGCATCATATTCTTTACACATGGCTTTACGCTAGTTTGAAGATTTTTGGGCTTGAGTGAATATGATATGTTCAATGGTCTTAGGCGAGGATTCTGTGATAGCATGTAGGATAAAGACTTGACGTGGTTTGAAAATACCACTTTTAGAGCGTATTATCATTGATTGTCTGGAGGCTATGAGATTGTGAGGTTATGTTGTTAGTATAGGTGGTGGAGAGTCATTAACATGAGCCAAGTCAGGCTGATGTACTTCAGTGTCATTGGGTCTAGAAGGAGATAAAGACAATAGTTGTGTTTCTAAATGTATTGTCTCATCAATGAGAGAAACATAAGAAGAAAGGAATGAAGTAGTAATGGAGGGAATGGACAGTTGCTGAAATAGAGTAGCAGTAGAGTATGGATCTTGAGGGGAGGAACTAGATGGTGTCATGTGAGGCTCATCCGAAAGGATCAGAGGTATACTCCAGTGACAAATGTTTATCGAAGTGGTTTGTATGACAGGAGGCTCATTATTTTAGAAAGGAAAGATAGACTCTACAAAAGTAATGTAATATGATATAAAAACTTTTTGGGTTTGGGGGTTATAGCATCGGAAAACATTATGTTCAAGAGAGTGTTCTATGAATATACAAGGCTTAGATCTTGATATTATCTTATAAGAGACATAAGGACATTGATCATGGATGGTGGATAACTGAGGGAGCCATTAATTTAGCCTAGTAAATCGTATCAAAATAGGAGATTAGAAAATTAGGTTCGATAGGATGTATAGTTGTCACCTTTTGATAACTTGAAAGGGATTAGCGTGACAACATAAGTCCTGCATTGAAGTACTATGATTCACCGCAGATAACTGGAATGTTAGAAGAAGATAATAAAGGTGCAGCCTGCGATCGGAGAAGCATAACCGTCGGAGGAAGAGCCGGCGACTGCGACCTCCAGCTGTCACCTCCCCACTGTGACCTTCTGCTGAGCCGGCAATCCTTACTTTTAGTACGAAAATACCCTCCGCATTACATATACGCGGTCGTTTTTACCTGAGCTTTAGGAAGGGTTACACCGTAATTTCATAACAGTACAAGGGTGATTTGGTGGGTTGTCCTTGTATATTTCCCTGGCAAGCACATGGCTCCGCTCTCCTCTTTGTTTTCGTGCATACTATACATTGGTGATCGTAGGCATAGAAGAAAGGAAGAGGAGCGGAGTGGAGAGGAAGACGCAAGTTTCATAGTACGTCTTCTCCTCCTTTCTTTACCGATCATTTGGTCTCATATAGTTTAGTCGTGTGGTGATGTTTGCTTCTTCTTTTGGAGACACAGGTGTTTGCGATTTGAGCTAACAGGAGAGCAAGAGGAAGAGAGCAGAGATGGTGAATTACTGGAAGTCTAAAGTCTTTCCGACGATCAAGAAGGTGTTTGACAGGAACGGCAAGAAGGCTGCCGCCGCCGAGGCATGCAAGTCCTTCGACGAATCGAAGGTGCATGGGGTTTTGCTTCGCCTATTCTTCTTCTTCTTCTTCTCCCTTCTACTTGATCTGATCTCTACTGGATCCTTTGTTTGGTTCAGGAGGACATCAGCAAGGAGTTCGAAGAGAAGAAGACTGACCTGCAGCCCAAAGTTGTGGAGATCTACGAAGCTTCTGCCGTTGAAATCAAGGTTTATCGATCTTGACCTCATCCTCATGTTATTCACAGACTTTGTATCAAATACTTACAGCCTTCTGCAAATACTTGCTTTGGACGACGACAGACTCTGGTGAAGAAACCGACGGGGTCAGGACTGAAGAAGAAATCAACTGTTGTGATCAAGTTCATCGAGGAACTAGTGAAGATCGGTAATGCTTTCTCTGTCACAGATGTTATAGTTGTTTTGAGGTGATAGCGGAAGGGCTTGTGATGAGATTAGATGCTTGCA